AGGAGGTATCTAGTAAAGCAATGTCTCAACATGTATTCATTAATTACTTTCACAGGAGGTATCTAGTAAAGCAATGTCTCAACATGTATTCATTGATTACTTTCATAGGAGGTATCTAGTAAAGCAATGTCTCAACATGTATTCATTAATTACTTTCACAGGAGGTATGACATTTGCCAAGAGGATGCGAGACCAGAACTACCTGACTATGCTCGACCCGTTCCAGGAGGTTTACGGCAGCCAGGTGGTGTTCCTTGTCTACATTGCCTCTATATGGGGTGACCTGTTCTGGACTGCCTCAATACTGTCAGCCCTAGGTACAGAAGTTTGTGTAGAATTGTGTAGACAAAGCTGTATGAATTATTTGACTATATTACCTTTTGTTCCATCTTCGATACTCAAGGTGTTTCACTCACTAATGCTCTCTGCACCCCTGGAATATGTCATAGCAAAATTGAAGGCTCAGTATGCACCACCTTGTGGATGAGACTGGAAGTCTACTTTGATCCTTTGATGTACATCAAAAGAATCTGTCAGTTGCGTAACAGAAACATTGACTGGCTTTAAAGTCAGGTGTAGCTGGTCTGTGATCTTCAAAGGACAGGTATGTATCAGCCTAGTGATTGGTCAGATTTTTTTTTACCTGAGAACAATCGAATAGCTAGCCAAGTGCCTTCAATTTTGCTATGACATACTCCAGGGGTGCAGAGAGCGAAAGTGAGTGTAAACCCTGGGGTATCAAGGGTGCTTTTGGTCAGGTGAGCACCATTGTGATTTCACAGATCTGACATCTTATATGACAACACTGGCTTTTCTGCTTCAAGAACTTCATGAACTGATGTTTGGAGCTTGAAATAAATTAAGTTTATAAAGCATAGGAAGTCACTTAAACTGATGTGAAGTGACTGAAATAACTTGATAAAGAATATAGCTACTTTATTGAAATGAAGATATAAGTAACAAATGTTAAACATTTGATGTTATCACCCTGCCAAGCTTTATTTGTCAGCAATGACAATGTTGTTATGGGACCGTAACACCATTTGCTAAAATGTGAAAAAATTACAGAGCAGTTGAACCAAGTTCTAATATGAATATTTTTATTATCAGGTACCAGTCTGAGTGTAATTTTGGATTGGAGTCGTACCGTTGCCATAGTGTCATCATCGGCCATCACTGTCGGGTACACCATGATTGGTCAGATGATATCGGTGGCCTACACAGATGTTGTACAGCTCTTACTTATCACAGGGGGACTGGTGAGTACAGATCTTACTTATCACAGGGGGACTGGTGAGTACAGATGTTACTTATCACAGGGGGACTGGTGAGTACAGATGTTACTTATCACAGGGGGACTGGTGAGTACAGATAATTCTTGTCACAGGGGGACTGGTGAGTACAGATCTTACTCATCACAGGCAGACTGGTGAGTACAGATCTTACTTATCACAGGGGGACTGGGGAGTACAGATATTACTTATCACAGGGGGACTGGTGAGTACAGATCTTACTCATCACAGGGGGACTGGTGAGTACAGATCTTACTTATCACAGGGGGACTGGTCAGTACAGATATGACTTATCACAGGGGGACTGGTGAGTACAGATCTTTCTCATTACATGGGGACTGTTGAGTTCAGATCTTACTTATCACAGGGGGACTGGTGAGTACAGATCTTATTTATCACAGGGGGACTGGTGAGTACAGATCTTACTCATTACATGGGGACTGGTGAGTACAGATCTTACTTATCACAGGGGGACTGTTGAGTTCAGATCTTACTCATCACAGGCGGACTGGTGAATACAGATATTACTCATATTACTGCTTATTTCTTACAGGGAGGGACATGGACATCCTAACTTACAGGGAGGGGCATGGGACATCCTAACTTACAGGGAGGGACATGGGACATCCTAACTTACAGGGAGGGACATCCTAAAAGTTCTGGGGGTTAACCCTCTTACTTTCACTGCAACCCAGAGAAATGTTTTGACAAAACAAATTTAAGGGCATGCAATGAGTTATATTTGATTGGATAGAGGTAAACAAAAATAATGACTAATTGCTACGCTTATCCCTTTCTTTTGAAGAAGCGACACTTGGCTTCACAGGCAGTCAATTGTAGCATGCTGCCATTCAATTCTTTTGATCTACATCAAAGGATCTCATCCAACAAGAGAAACGATGAAAGACAGCCTTCAATTTTGCAGGGGTGCAGAGAATATAATAAAAGAGTGCATGTCTTTTTCTGGTGCCATTTTGGGGCTGAAATTTGAAATGAGGGGAGCTCTATCTTCTATAAGTAAGCATACATTTTTATGAATATTTCCATAAGGAGACACTTGATATAGGTATCCATTATTTGAAAAAAACCAGACACTAACAATATGCTTCACCATGACATTTTTTTCAGCCATGTTTTGTTTAATAGTAGCATGATTGTAAGAATGCACAGTTGAGATGGAAGCCTGCTGACAAACCAGGCCAGAGAAAACTATTGTATTTAGTAGCAATACCTCTTTGACGTTGATTCATATTTTTCTGCTGCTTTCTCAGGTTCTCTGTGTCCCGTTTGTGTTGACAAATGAAAACGTTGGGAACATTGTCGATACAACAAGTGACTGGATTGGCCAGTATGACACCAACATTACAAGTCTGTGGATAGACCTTTTCATTGCTATGGTAAAATATTGCTTCGTTTTACCTGACTGTATGTTCTATTTTCACTTTTTATGTTAATATGGAAATTATCCAAAATTATTACAGGGCCAGAAAAGTTATATACCCTTAAAGATAATAGGTGTATTTAGTTTAAACTTTCTTTTATTGAAGTATTTCAATTATATACATATATATGCAATATATATATATATATATATAGCATTTTGTAACAAAACACAAAATAGGAAATAGAAACAAGTGTCTTAGACACTTATGTAAATCTATCACCTTGCATAGGTGTATTTGAACAGCTGTGCACATGTTCTTGCTTGATATGGAGTTGAAATTGATTTAAATGGGTTTCTTCTTCCATGCTCTGTTACAGACATTTGGGACAATTCCATGGCAGGCCTATTTCCAGCGTGTGTTGTCTGTACAGGGTGGCAAGGAGGCTCAGATACTGTCAGTGGTGGGCGGGGCTAGTGCCCTTGTGCTCTTCATTCCCTCTCTCCTGATTGGTGCCGCAGCTGTCAGCGCTGGTATGCATGCAGCTTCAAAGAACCTTTGCTTTATTTGGGAACAGTTATTCATATTCAACATTTATTCTTTATTGAAATACATTGAATGATTTATCTTTTTTTTTGTAATTTCCTTAATTATAGTACTGATGTTAATCCCCATGCCATTTACAGCAGTATTATACAGTGGGCTATATTCGATTAGCTCCTTCCAAAATGCTAACTTATCTCCAATCATTGACAATCACTTACAATCATGGACAAGAATTCTGTAAACCAAGTATTTTGTTTGCAATTTTTGAAAAAGTATTTTAACAAGGATAAATGTTTATTTATTTTTTATGTTCAAGGGAGATGACTCCATTGATCTTAGAAAATGTATTAGTATTGCCAACAAATGATCTAATGCTATTATACTTCATATTGCAATATTTTGAATATTTCATGCAAAAATTTGAATAAATTCAATATGGAATTTGTTTGGGAAAACATTTTATTTCCAAATATGAGAAATAAGTTATGCTGTATTATTGACAGACTGGACCAACACAACACTTGGCATGTCACCCATGGCAGCCAATAAGGCTGACATGGTGTTACCCTATGTGCTTAACGAGTTCACTCCTGTACCTGTCGCTGTCATAGGTACGTTATGTCATTGTTTATTTCAAAAAGTGGGTTTATTTCAAAAAGTGTGTGTGGGGGGAGGGGGGGGGGAGTTTGAATATATTGGATCAAATTGGGTTTGTTATTTAAGCATTAAACAGCATTCTGTTTTGTGTTATGATCTATAACACGAAACAGGATTGCAGACAAAATCAGTTATGCATTAGTGCAATATGATTATTTTTCTGAATCCTGTTCCGTGTTCTAGGATGTGACCAACTAGCACAGAATAGAATGCTGTTTTATGCTTATATTTACATTTTTCATTTCGTCAATTTTCATCTCGAAGTTCACAGCACACTTTTGAATTCAAATTTTGTTGTGTTTGTTTCACAGGTAGAACAGCCCATGGAATGTTGTCTTGTGAATTTCTCTGTAAAAAAAATATATTTTTAATCAATCTTTATATGCATGAAGGGGTGAATATTATTGAATCATAGTGGGTTTTTTGTTTTGCTTATCTGCGTGTAAGTGCGAAGGGGAATCGCAATCTGGTAGTTAGTCGGACCTGTTTTTCATCACTACGTCTGTGTTATGGTCTCGTACTAAGTTACTGGCCTTGGTAGTGTTATAAAGTAGCAATGCATAGCAAATGTAAATATTATGAGATATCATCACAAATGACAGTAATTGTATTTAAGGATTTACTTGAATATTTTTCATGTTATGACGATGTGGTTTATGATGAGAGTACACTCCGGNATTTACTTGAATATTTTTCATGTTATGACGATGTGGTTTATGATGAAAGTACACTCCGGTTTTTTGTGTTAAAGCTCCATAACATGGAAAATATATTCAAGTCAATCCTTATAACTTAATCTACTTTACATAAGTGGAAATCCACTTTTATTGATGGACTCTTTTCTCTTAGAAATTATTGCGCTGCTGTATCAGCCAATCAAAAGCGACGTTACAAACGGCGACGTCATTTTTCTATGTTATGGGCTAATAACATAATTTTTTAAGCCAACGAAAATGCTTGTTACAAGCAAGATTAAATTATAAAGCATTAGTTGTTCTGTTGTCAGGTTTGGGAGCTATCAGTGCTGCCGTCATGTCATCAATGGACAGCTCTGTCCTGGCATCGAGCTCTATGTTCACCAAAAACATCTACAAACAGCTCCTACGACCAAAGGTAACAGTTCAAACACCCAACACATCCATTATGGACAAGGCTTCCATGGCTGCCTCAGTATACGTACAATCTATCTGTTATATATATCTGTGACTGTGTATATAAAAAAATATATATATTTCTAGCTATTGAAATTAAATATTATGGTGCCAACAAATTAACTAATGCTATTATACTTCATATTGCAATATTTTGAATATTTCATGCAAAAATTAGAATAAATTCAATATGGAATTTGTTTGGGATTTTTTTCATAAAATTGTCACCCTTCACTGGAAAAATGCATATTTGTTCCAGTGTTAATTTTTCCATTGAAATGAATACAGTATATATATATAGTAAGCTGTTAACTTATAATTAATGTCACTGTTATGATAATGTGGGCCAAAAGGTGTAACTGAACCTTCCTGGTACAACATGAAGTATTGGAATAATCGATTTGGTCATTGTGTAGTGGTTAGTGCCCTTTCTTTCACTATTTTGATATGTGATTCCCTGAACAAAGATGAAAATATTGAGTCTCTTTCCAACCACATCAGTTTTTCTGGGTACTCTGGTTTCCTTGTACATAATGTCCCACTGTGTGCTATGATCCAATGCAACAAGAAAGATTAGTCTAAGTTGAGAGAACTTGTTTCATAGTTGTTGTAAAATAGATACAGTTTTTGGGAGAAAAATGAGTATTTTTTTAAAAATATTCCATAGCAAATAACAATGTCAACATTAATATTTCTATATGCAGGCCTCTGACACAGAGCTGATCTGGATTCAACGCTTGGCCATCCTCACCATAGGAAGTACATCAGCAGTTGTCTCCCTTGTCGTGCCAGGTGTATACGGTCTTTTCATCTTGGCAGCAGATGTCGTCTTTGTCATTATCCTGCCTCAGTTGATCTGTGCAGTATTTCTGAAGTGGACCAATGTGTATGGATCTGTGACAGGATACGTCATCGGGACATTGTTACGGATCGGTGCGGGAGAACCCAGTATCAACCTTCAGCCATTTATTTTCTATCCTGCATACGAAGCTTCTGCGGGACAGAATTTCCCTTTCAGAACTTTTGCAATGGTTTCATCTCTTTCGATCATTGTTTTCATCTCCATATTGACTAACGAGCTCGGCCTTCCGATGGCAAAATCTGGTAATGCCTATACCCTACATTCGCGAGACATCAGTTCAGAATACGCACCTGAAAGTCATACAAATTCATTTTGTACAAAATTAGACCAACAAAATCGACACACTGGATTTACGAACTGTGACCACACTATCCAAACTAATGTAGATTGCTCTAATTACAAAGAAGATGATTTTACAAACTGTACCATTGAGAATCATGAGGATGCTGTTTCAGACTCAACAGAGATTAAAGACGACGAATTTACGAACTTTAAGCAAAATAGGAAAATAATTTGTGGAATAAATTCTTGTGTTGTGAACAAAGACCAACAGCGACAGGAACTTATCCACTTAAAAACAAGTCACATATCAAATGAAATGCAATGATTATTTTAAGTACCACATTTATACCAGGCCCCACGAACCAATCTTAAGTCTAGATTTGTTTTAAGTTTTAACTTAATGAATCACAAATGACGTCATGAAAAGTGACGTCATAGATGTGATTGACTAAGCAAAAACTTTAGTCTTATGATTGTTTCATGATCCCAGGGTCTGGTAATACAGTGTTAATACCTAGTTAGAAAAGGACTTCAGCTGATATCTAAAAACCTAATACATGTTTCATTTAAAGGAAATTGGATTCACAGTCATCACTGAAAGCTGGATATATTTATGAGTTCTTAAATTTGCAAAAAGCAACTTTTGAGAAAAATCTGAAAATTGACAAAACTGTTCTAGTACTTGTCATCAGGTGATCGTTGTAACTCCTGATGCATGTAACTCATTCACCCCTGAGATTTCGTATTGAACTATTCAAACCTTTGAATTGGAAGAGTTCAAATGTGACTTCAAGGGTTAATGAGTTAAAGGATTTTGCCATTGTTTGCCATTACACTTCTTATAATTTGAGTAATAACTAGAACTGTAAATTAGAAGGTGAAAAACTTTTAACTATACATGTCTTTTATACATGTCGTTTTACAGAATCACATGAAATGTGTTCAAATAAGAATAAAAACATGTTAAGTGCATTAAAAGCAGTACTTTCTAGTCAAAAATGCTCTAAACTTTGTAACCTGTACACTCATGTTTGTGATAGAGACGGTTTTACATTATGTATATAAGTTATTTGCAAACAATCATTGTGTAGTGTAAATCAAAAAAAGTCAAGTTCTATTTTTTGTTTTAGTGATTGTTTACGCTCATTTGTGCTATTTAGCATAAAAATGAAGTTAAAAATATGGATTTATAATGAAATAAACCAAACATTTTTTTATGTTCAACAGCAGTGAACATATTCTGCTCTGTGATTTGAGTTCTGTGTTCATATCCAATAGCAATATAAATATTGAAATTGAGCTTTCATTGATAAATATGCAAGACCACACACTTGTGTTTTTCTAATGAATCAGAAAGCACGAGTTTATTGCGGGGACGAATATATTCACGAGGGAATATATACGTCCGCGCAATAAATGAGTGCTTTCTGATTCGTTAGAAAAACACAAGTGTGTGGTCCTGCTTTTATCACATACCTTCCGTATTTGGTAGAGATCGATACAAAGATTTTATAAACTTTGATATTTTTTGCAAATACCGGAAACTTTTCAGTTCGCCATGACAAGGGGATTCCCATAAAAAGTAGTTCGGCTAGTAGGTAAATACAACATTCCGTATTGCGCATGTGCAATACAGAACGTTGTATTTCATGGTCAGAAAATTGCTTGTATTACTATAACAAGATTCAACAGGTATGTGATAATATACTGCTCTGCCTAGAACTGCCTTCCAAAGCTATTTCCTTTTGATCTTTTTTACGATAGCTAAGTGCTGTGAAATGTCAAATTCAACACAGCAGGGGTGTCCTATTCTACTGGCTGGTAAATACAGTACCATATAGCTCGCTGTACTGTGAACTGTAGTTATAATTACCAGTACTGTTAAATAAACATAGGTGGTTACTACACTAGTTTTAGTAGGCTAAAGGGAAACGTTAGGCTGGCAAGCATATAATGTATTTTCAGTTACAAAAATATTGAATAAAGTCAGTAATAATGGACTCATCCAGATCAATGTATGGAAGAGTCTACTAAAGTTACCTAGGGGTGAAAGGGTTAAGAAACTTGCCATGGAAAGACACAAACTTCGTCTCCCACAGAGGTGGTCTCTTATTCAAACTATTAATATATATAGTCAAAATTGGGATCCCTTCAGGGAGAAGATTGCTTTGGCAGTTTGACTGCAGAAAGTAACAGAATGTATGCTGCAGCATTTTTGTTACACATATCATGAGCGAGCAAATATCAGACCAGCTAAAGAGTGCTAATGTTTTGTCTCATCTGTTGGCTTTGATTTAAGATATCTTTGTAAAGTTTTTATTTTTCTACACCTTGGTGGTTTTTAAGTATTATGTTTTTTATTAAACTTTTATCATTAATGTTATGTATGCATTTATAATTGCATTTGGATTTTAGCAGGAAGTATATATTTTCTGAGTAAAGTGTGCTTGCTGATATGTATGTGCTAAGACTAATTGATTTGCAATTGAAATACAGTATCTTTTTTTGTGAAATTGATAGATTACTCGACGTTCATTTTGAGGTATAGTGTACTTGTTTACATGTTACATTGTTTTCAGACATCATTTATTGTACATGTATACTGGTTATATTGTACAAGGTTTTTTTACCCTTTCATCCCTAGGTAACTTTAGTAGACTGTACCATACATTTATTTGGATGAGTCCATTATGGTCTACAGTGGTGAAAGGGTTAATGAAGTCCTATGTCTTATGTTAATGTCATGTTGCAGAAGTAAGATAACTGCAGTTGTATCGCATATTGTCCTCAAAAATACCACTTGCATTGTATCGCTAAAGAGAACCTGGTATGGATTTTGAAGAGTGCTGTCTGTTATACATGTTTTACATAGGACTAGTGATTTAAATCTTACTTTGGTCAGCAATGAAAATTTTTATAACAAGATAATCTGGCATTCAGTTATAAGTGTTTTTTTATAACATTCCATAGATGCATTTTTTAGAGTTAGTTTGATTGATAGACTGGTAAGTTTAAAATGCAATATTTATATGTACTAGTCAGATGTCAGGTACATAAGATATTTTTTGTTATGTGTTTTTTTATGTTGTTTTTGCTATAATTAATTTAGCATTGTAAACAGAAGCATTGTGTTTGTAAAATTGTGTCTACAAACACAACATTTTCATGCTTTGTGACATTATTGTTCTTACCTAAGTGTACAGATTTCTTATTCATAACTGTATTTGTTGAAACGATCTGTGGGCCAGTTTTCATGAAATTGTTCTCGTGCTCAAACTCATATTCTTTGCTCAAGCCCAATTTCTTGTTCCAGTGTTAAATTGATAAAACATCACATTTTGACAATGATTTGGATGAATCAATGAAGGGGGGGGGGGGGG